TTTAAAACGAAAGTAATTTTGACAACTAATTTAAAAAAAAATTATACAGAATTTGGTGGAAAGTTACATCCTCTTGCTTCCAGTCTTTCATACCACCACATAAAACAAACTTTTCCTAACAATAGTCCTCAAACTCTGGTAAGTAGACCGCACATTTTTGTAATTTTCATCCAATTTAATGTTGAATAAATATTTTTTAACACAATGTTATGTCATTATTTTATACACAGTATCCTAAGACCCTGAGCCTGAATAACAATAAAGCCATTATATATTGTTGATTATGATGCGTTACTTAGTTCTAATTTTAAATTGATGTTACCTAAAAAACCATTGAAAAATTTGTGTTTCCTATGGTTCCTGTTTAAGCGTTGATCTTAAAAATCCTATATATTTATTATGGTAAAAATATAAATATAGAAAATTTATTATTTGCAAGAATTTTTTTTTTTAGATTGTTTACTATGTATGTCCAAATGAAAGTGGACAAAAAAGATGTCTTGAACAATGTGTATTTTGATGCGTTACTTAGTTCTAATTTTAATTTGATGTTACCTAGAAAATCGTTAAAAAAAATTGTGTTTTCTATGGTTCCTGTTTAAGCCTTGATTTTAAAAATCCTATATATTTATTATGGTAAGAATATATATATAGAAAATTTATTATTTGCAAGAATATTTTTTTAGATTGTTTACTATCTATGTCGAAATGAAAGTGGATAAAAATGATGTCTTGAACAATGTGTATTCCAATTCCAGTAATTATAAAAATTAAATAGATGCAAATTCACATGTCACTAAAATTTTTTTGCAGGCATATTTAAAAAAATATTTCCGTTGTGTACTATAATGAAAAAATGTATTAAATATCCAAAGAGTAATACTGTAAAAAAATGAGCGGCTTGTAGAAATACAATTAATTTATTTGTATTATATGGTCACAGGTCGTAAAAACCTGTTGTAATGGAAAAATTCGAAGATCAAGATAGACTTGGGTGAAGAACAATGCTTTGAAATTTAAGAAAAAATGTGTACTATATGAGAAACAGTAATAGTCTCGAAGACTGTTTAATAGAAGAAGAAAAAGATTTGTGTAAAACTGACGAAAAAAAGTTGTGCGAAGATGTATCGAAAGAGATATGGTGAGAAGGCGAAACCCAGATGTAAGCTAAATGTAAAGCCTGCAACGAGCGTATGCGCCCCCAAATTTATTGCAAATAATTCAAGGTTGAAAAAATGTTAGTTGAATTAAAAAAAAAAATTATTTTTGTTAACTATTGATATACAAATCTTATAGGGCTTATTACAATGTTACAACTCTTGCCTCTAGTCAGTACAATCTACCATATCATAACATCAGCTGTCAAAAATAACTGTAAGTAGACTTTAGATTATCTTAATTTGTAGTTTTTATTATTACAATAAAATACATTGCTAGATCTTGATCTGAATGACACTAACTCCATCATATATTATTAATTTTGTTATGTTACTAATTTTAAGGTAAGAACATGTTTAAAAAAATATTTATTTCTCACAAGAATATTTTTGCAGATTGTTTACTATGTATGTGTAATGAATGTGTTATGAAAATCTAAACGACTGTAAATGAAATATTAATATTTACCGCAACTTTACTGATGCGTTCCATATTATTGTCTATTTAATTTGACGTATATAGCCTTTCAAGTACTTATAATAATTTAGTGGTATGCCAATTCATTAATAACTGAAATTCCTTTTCCATGTGTATATTTATCGTAGATTATCCAGAATCAAAACTTACAACGTAAATCCTTCTCAAACTATTTAAAATATAAAAACTTGAAACAACCAATTGTGTAAATTTAAAACAAGGTAAGTTGAAGACTTATATTTTTTATGTAAATTATTTGAATCCCTTTTTAATGAGTAAACCTCTCGTTTAAGTTTTTATTATGAAAATAATTGTGAATTCCAATAATAAAACGTGCTCTCTGAAGTAAAATAAGATGAAGAAA